CGTACGTACGTCTCTCTCGTCTCTCTCTCTCTCTCTCTCTCTCTCTCTCTCTCTCTCTCTCTCTCTCTCTCTCTCTCTCTCTCTCTCTCTCTCTCTCTCTCTCTCTCTCTCTCTCTCCTCGATCTTTTTCCGTCGTGTCGACCGATGTCGGGGAGATGAATCGCGCTACGAGAAACGCCGCCAGAATCTTGATTAATCGTAACGTTAATCGAGCAACCATCGCGCCTTTTTCGCGCCCACAAAAAGAAACATCGACGATCGCTCTCGATTGTTGTTACCTTTCCATAGGGCGGATAGTGTCAAGAATGTGCGGTGGAGCGGAAAGAGCAGTCAGAAGCTCGGGAGAACTTCGGCTCGTAACGAGAGAGTAATCATTTCTTGACCGTTGCGCGAATTTATTACATACAACCGCGTGGTTATCTCATTTCGCGTTAACGATATATCCTTAAGCATTTCTTCAACATATAGCTCAACCATAACGGCATAACGGTCCATCGAGATCTTCGTTCTAATTTTCTCTCGATATCGTTTTAATCGGACTTAATCCGAGAAGTTTACAAGGTATGACGATTAGACCGTAGACGGGAGAGATCGAGAAGATCAATGCCGGGATCAAGGATTTGTCGAGGTAACAGGTATATCGAGTGTACACACGCGAACGCACGTCTCTCGACGGTCACGGCTATCGACCAACCTTGGACGGTATCCGTTAATGATTTCCTTGCTCTCCCGTTGTTGACCGTGGCTCGTTATTCGAGCGCCCGTCAAGTGTCAGTCAGATCGTTCTCCAAGCAGCAATAATCTTCCTCGAGATTTTTACCAGTCATGCTTGAAATTATAACAACCCGAAACAATTTATTAATATTAAAAAACTTTATTTAATATCAGAAAGCTTTATTTAATATTCAAAAACTTTTATGTGAAAGATTATTTGCTTATCAATCGTTAACTCACTCTTATAGGCAATATATATATATATATCATGATATATGTGCTGCTGAGTAGCTTAAAAGACCATATATAAAACAATACCGAAAAATTAAAAGTTCGATTCATACTCTTTACTCCATTATATTTAACACAATTGTAATTAACATAACGTTGTTTCATTTCGAGAAAACGGAATTGCAATCGTAAAATGTTTTTTTCTAGAAATATGATAACTCATATTATAAATTAAATACTTTGTCTTCTGCCTTATAAATAAATAAATTTTGTAGCTAAAAAAATAATGAAACGAAAAGGTGGCTACTTTGAGAAAAGTGTCTAAAAAATATCTAGTACTTATTAGTATTTTTCATTTATTTTTATAAAATATTATGAGTAAAGGAATAAGAATATGTTAAATTGTAACTAAATTATAATTATTATTAATAAATTTGATTTTATTTTAATAATATTTAATCAATATATTTTATATAATATATTTTAATGTAATATATTTTATATAATCAATATTTTCAATTAGTCTCAAACTTTTGGCTGGTAATATAAGTCTGTATGATAATTGATTTGGACATTCGCGATTCATGCGATAGTCGGTTTGCACTTTACTGAATGCACTATCCATGTCACCAAACAGTTTACAACCAAAGTAATTATTACTCAGCAAAGTATTGTGAGATTTGTATAAAAATATCATCCGACGTTGCTAAATCCATTGAACACATTGAAGTAAATGTTCTAATTTCTTTGCCTTTCATCGATTTCATATATTTAGCGTTTAATCAACCCACATTCAAAATTTCACTTCCATTACCGACACTCTACAATTAATAAATGTCGTCGTTCATGCGACCCTTAAACCAACAGATAAAATTAATTGCATGACGATTGCAAAAAAATGCCTTAACCTCCGGAACAGCTCTTTTTTCTTTATTTTTAAATATTTGATTTCTTTTCGTAAGAAGCCGATCTGTGAAACTGGTCCTCTTAACCGTGCCAGAGAGTTAATTGAATCCCGACGAAGACTCGAATCAACATAGGAAGGCAATCGCGCTTATTATTCCGCGTGGTAACGCGGGCGCCGGTATATGCGAAAATTGCAATCAAAATGCAACGTCGTGCGCGCAATCGACGAGCTTCTTTCCGAACGCGCGATCGCTTTCACTCGTTCGTACCAGCGCATAAGCACGCGTAACGGATTTTACATGAGCAACCTACAAACCTCGAACTGCATATAGGGAGTCACGCATCGATTATACGATCGCTAATCCTAATTCACGCTCACGTCTCGTCGTTCTCACTCTCTCTTTCTCTCTTTTTATCTTTCATTCTCTTTCTCTCTCTGTCGCGTCGTACCATACGAGGCGTCGCGAAAAGGAAAAAAAAAAAAAAATTCTGGTCGACGTGATTCTTTTTTCCTCCACGGTGAACTTCACCCGCGAAACGGAAATCCTTTCGACGCGGATTCCGAGAGCGAAATGATGGCGAGCCTCACGAGAACCGGTGATTTCCCGGCGAACCGACGATTATCCGTTACATCAAATTACTCGTATGTACGGTGCTCGCACCGTAAAAGGATTAATTAGAAACGATATATCGCAATAACCGGGAGAAAATATGATCGACGGCAAATGAGAATCAAATATATTCACTTTCCGGTAAAACTGCAATCTTTTGGAGAACGCAAAGTATATATAGAATATGATAAATCGTAAAGAAATAATAAGAGTAATAAGATATCTTTATCAAACTTGCAATCAATCACTTTTGAATGGCATTGAGGAAAGGTGAATTAATAAATAAGATACAACAGAAAGAGAAAAAAAATTCTTGCAGTCATATCTAAATAAAATAAAATATCCGCATTTCTTTTTGTTTAATAAAATCTTATCATTTTGTTAAAAAGCATTCGCTTCAATACTTGAAAAGTAACGACTCGCTCGGCACAACGGCTTCGATTCAGGAAGCCGTTGCGGAATTTTCTCTCGGGCCGTGAAGTGTGCGCTCACACCTGCGCGCGTGTGTCATTTACTCTTGCTCTTGACCTCTTGCGAACTCGGGTTCCAAGACCGCTCGCTCGTTCGCTCGCTCGCTCGCTCACGCGTTCTTTCGTCGCTCGCGCGCTCCGCGTTCTTATCCAGCCTACGCATGCTGACGCAGCGTGAGTTCATCGCCAGCGGGTATCAATCGTTATTAACAAGAAAATAATAGCCTCGCGGCAAGATTTCGCTCGCGGCGAAGCACCTCTCTCCGCGACTATCACTTTATCTAATGCGACGTTACGTTACGTTGACGATCTTTTGCTGCAAATGACGCTAGAATATCTACACGTAATATCTAGGATAGCATATCGTAGGGTATGTCTATGATAAACTATCAATTTAGATGCTGTATGTGGTTACTCAACGATGATTTATAATTTCTAGACGAGCGTCCATTTCTATAAAACGTGATTTCAGAAGTTAAGATGAAGCTTTCTTGTGTCTCTCATTTCATTTCCGAGATATCAGTAGTCTCTCTTTTATTTCAGATGTCCAGGTATCTCGGTCTGATACTTATTATTACGGCATTTACATATGCACACGCTGCCAAAAACTGTAAGGGTAACGGCCTAGGTTTAAAATATGTATGGGGTGATGCACTCACCGATTCGGATGACTGTATAGGACCGAATAACATGCAGTATCCTTCGTAAGTAATAGAAAACCTTTTATATAATTAAGATAAATCCAATATTTAAAAAACTAAATGACATTTAATACATACCTAGAAGATTAAAACTTCTTTTAAAATATTTTTTAGATTGAATGCTTTGCAATTTTGAAAATCAGCATCTACTCTCTATTTCTTTCTCGAGATTCAAAATAAAACATTAAAAACATTTCATTCGACGAATAAATTTATTTAAAGTCTACAAAATCTAAATCTAAATGCCGAATCAAAATTTTTAATCTCACACAAACGATCATGATTAAAATACTTCTGTTATTAAAAATTATTATTTTTTGATGAAATAACAAGTATATACTAAGTATGCTTAAATTTACAATTAAATTTTCATTTGTGGTTTTTAATTTTAATTTGTCCTTTTAATCGAGAATATCTTCAAGATGAATCGATACACGACGACTGTCGAACACTGTTGAGCTATGTTTTGAAAATTAAATTTTATTCCATCGATCGACAGCACGTAAGAGAAGAAGATCTTAATAATGGCTAGGCAAAGTGCAACGGATGTAATATGTACCGTTCTTGCAGTGCTGCGATATCGAGGAGCTTTAAGAATCTCTGGGCGGGCAGTAGTCGAACCGCGCGATCGCATCAGCCACGGACGATTGATCCTGAACTGACGAGGCAGGCGCTTTTGCACAACTACAAAGCGGCCCACGGGGAGTACTCTATTGCCGGAAGCTCTCGGAACGGTAAGTCCGCGTTTAAACGCAACGACGCTCCTGTATCGCGCAACAATTATCTTTCACTTCCAAACCGCGCGCAACAGACAGAGAGATCTATATCCTAGAATCGTTTCATCTCGGTTCTCCACTTGCTGGGTCGCTATTTTTCACCCTGTTATCTAAACGCGCTGAAGCAGATAATTATATTACGATTTAATGGAAATTATTTGCAACCGTGTTAATTTCCTGTTAACCGGTTTTGCATTTGCATACATAACGTATTTATTTTCTTTTCGTGTTGAAAATTATTTCAGTTTTCCACGCTGCGCGAAGTGCATGAACGAAAAAGCTAGGAAGTGATAAAATCAATAGCCACTTTATGTTTCTCAATTTGATATATATGAATAAATCTCTATATATGAATAAATCTCTCCTATCTTGATTGAATAGATTGAATAAATTGAGAATTAAATCACTATACACAAAAACAAATGTGTTTTGATCTTACGAATCCTACATGTGTGAAATATATGAACGGAAGTCTAAAAATAATAAAATCAATAACCACTTTTGCTTCTCTTAATTTCTGAATGTGTGTGCAAATAAATAAACCTCTCCTATCTCGATCGAATAAATTGAAAGCATGTAATTAGATAAATATCCACAAAAACAAAACGCCAAAGTACCGGTTGTTACCGGCGATATTTCGACGAGCAAAAATATCGAGAAACGGTAAAAAAATAATAGGAAGAAAAATTTTCGTTTTATCGCTTGTTCCAACTCCGAAGAATCGTTCGCGAGAAGGCGCCTGTTCGATCGAACGCGAAACCATACTCACGGCAAACGAACGCGAATTATCCGAGAAGCGCGAGCGTTCTTGCTTCAGTATTCGCATAAAACGACCCTGTTCCCACGCAGCCGAAGACCTCGAAAAAAAACTTCGCGGCGCGCACGGCTGTGAACGGCGCTTGAAGCCCCGCGAGTAGGCCCCCACGAAAATTGGAACGGCCGGTCGCGAGGTGGATACCAACTGGCGTGCACAAGCCGTTTACGATCGTGGCTCGCTCGCTGCCCTGTAGCCTTCAGTTATGCGGCTGTCCTGACACGAAAACCCGCTTCTAACCGCTTCATAATTCTCAGCCGGCCGTCGGGGTTTCTGCGAAAATCGCGCGGCCGACGAGATGAGTCCGCGGGAGTTTTCCAATTGGAGGGTCGCGTCGCGTCGTGGTACCCGATCTTCCCGATAATAATCGGTCGGTGGCGCACCGATGGGCCAGCAATAAGATACCGTGTTATCCAGCCAATACAGTTATCGCTCCTTGTGCTTATAACGGGACCCGCCGGCGACCCACTCGTCGTTTTGAGCATGTACCCGCTCGTCTCGAAATGCTCGACGAAGGCCGCTGATTCCGAGAGCGAATCTCTCGACTTAATGCCAGTTCTCACTAATCTCTCTACTCTGCTTTCAATAGATTTCTAAAGAAAAATTAATCACTTGATGGTCAAATATGTTCAAATCGAGAGTTTGCGAATATAAAAAACTTATTTTATATTATTATTAATATAAAAAAGCAAATGAGGTTATTGTTAGTCAAATTATTTCAAATTTTAAAATAAAAACATTGATAAAAAAAATGTGTTCCCGACCATTTGTAAAAATTTACAAGAGAGAAAGAATTACCTTATTTAGGAGAAAGAAATTTTCAATTTTATAATTTTGTTTTTAATCTTAAGTCCGTTTTTTTTTTAGCTGAACTTCTTATATCTTCATGATGCATCTTTCCTCTTTTTCTCTTCCCATTGAAGAAGAAAAGAAGAAAAGATGAATAAGGCAAAAAGTTCAGCTAGAAAGAACAAACCTACTAATTTAACGACAGGAAACTAAACAATGAAACTTTTCACGCGTTTCGAATATGAATTTAATTGCTATGTTTAAAGAACTATATATCTATAAATATGCTATTTTTTTAATTTTTATAATTCCAATAGTGGTCCGTATGTGAATCCCGTAACTCTTACGGGACTATCTTACACTATACCGTATTATAACGTTCTGATGTTGTCAATAAACCGCAATAACGTTTTATATTAAGTATAGATATTCATGTAGATAGTCTGGAGAGTACGATAGTCTGCGTCAAGATTATAATGTGTATTACGCTACAGTTGTGCATCACAATGAGAAAAAATTATATTACCACGAAATGATCGTCACTGGGTTTTCAGGCCGTGCGTTTTCCGCGAAGGAAAGTTGCGGCTCGCCCGCCAGGCTCTGCAAAACAAGGTACAATACCACGGCTCCTATGTACGGCATCAGCCTCACTAGCGGACAACCAGTAACGATCGTCCAGAAGTTCCCCGATCTCCTGCAGCAGGTCGTCTTCGAAGTTTGCGAGTGAGTATCGCGATTGAGATTCTCGGAGATTTCTCGGAGGACATTAACTTTTGCATTTCCACGGCTTCTTAATTTTTTACAGCCAACTTCTCAGCAAGAAGCAGGCTCTCAAATAAAGTTTATGCTAATGTTTATTTCAAGTTTGTTTTTCAGTCTAAAATTGACTGAAAAAGAATTTTTTTAATAACTTATTTTTTACTTTTAGAGAAGTCGCTGCGCAAAGTTTTTTATTTCCAATATGTATCCTCAGGCTTACGCTTAAAGCAAAAATTAATTCCGAATTGATCTGTACCTAAAATGTTTGATGATTTTGGAGCATTCTACACGCTTTGTTAGAGAGATATATATATAATAGAGATATATAGTACCCTTTCCGCACTTAATTTATGTAAATGGAATTTGTGTGTGGTCAATATTTATCAACGTGATATAATCAGCGAATTTTTGAACAGTAATTTATAAGAGCAGCGGGACATCGGACCAGATTGAAATTCACCTGGGCCGCCTGCCCGCTGAATTAATTCGAATGTGGCACAGTAGGACGAACTGGTTTATAACTGTGTGTTCGTGATCAACATGCACCTACTTTTTTATGCGAAATTCCTTCCCAAATAATTCAAACACAGTTCTATTAACATAAAGTATTGCTAACGAGCCAATGACATACGTGCGTTGAATAGTGCGACTAAAGTTCTCTCGGGAGAAATCATATCCTTTCAGTGTAAATATACACTAAAGAAATATACACATATTTTTATTAACGGACATCAAAATATATTTGAGAAATATAAGATGCAATGAAAGATAATGCATTAAAGTGAAAAAAAATGTTTATAGAATTTCCTTTTTATTTGTTTAACTGTTACGCATAGAGTACGCGTCACAACGACAGCTGCGACAATGTCGCAGCGTACACGAGCAATCTTTACTTGTGTACGTCATGCTTCGTGAACGCACTTCTACTCGAAGTTATGTCAGCAATGCTTATGTATTCGAGCGCTACGGAATCGCTGGCGCAAACGCAATCTGTAAACAGCTTCTCGTCCGGTGAACGAACCCAACAGAATCTCTCTCATCGGTCGGTTGTTTCAGATCGAAGGAATGCGACGTGGTTCACGGCGAGTGCACGCAGACCTACGTACCGTACCTGTTTCTGGTGATTCCCCTCGGACCAGTGACCTTGACCGGTCAGGATTACGTGCTGGTGGAGAGCGGTTGCGTCTGTAAGCCGAGAAATTCGGCGAGCTCGTCCACCGATACGCCGCCGTCCGTCCCAAACTTCTAATCGTTCGCCAAGTTCGCAAGCATCTTTGATTGTTCTCTGTCGGAACGACGAGACTCATTCTAATCACCGCGTTCTATCAGGACGCCATAATGTAGAGCGATTTCGGGCATTAAAGTCCCCGGATGGCTCGACAATCTCATAGATGCGACGTAAAAGATGCGAGATGCGCTATTTTTTGAAAGAAATCTTTCTGGCAAAAGAGTATGTGGATTCACAAAATGTATTCCATCGCTAAATCTGTCTTTTATTCTTTTTTTTTTTTAAAGAAAAGATATTATATTTTTTACTTTACAGAACTCCACATTTTCGTTATCCACATTTGTCTCTTTACTTTAATCTATTATCAGCTGTAATTGAATTTTACAATGTAAAATGTTTATAATTGTTTTTAATTTGTTCCTTATTTTGCTTATTAGCTTATTATTTTTTAATTATAATTATAATTTTCTATAAATTAATTTTTAATTTTTTTTTTCACTAAAACTTTTTTCAATCTTGAAAATTTTTGAATATGTGTATGGGACTCCAAAATTGAGATGAGATGCTTTGCGCAATCAGAATCAAATATTGTAAAACGGAAATTGGCTGATGATAGATTGATAGCCATAAAACAAAGTGCATTTCGCGAAAGAAATACTTCTAACGAATGAATTACCCTTTGTCGTAAATCATAGCCTCTTGTGTTGTCTTTCATTTGCGACATTCGGTCAATTCACTTGGATGACAAACTATTACGATGACAAGAATCTGTCATTTAATCGCGGACTACGAAAGATAAGACTGTCGGAATGTTAATTTCGTCGACGACAAATATCTCTCTCAACGAATTTACATATCATCTCTTTTTAAGACACCTGAATGACTTCTGGGCTGATACTCGGCGGATGAGTCAAATCAGTCTGCTCATTTAGTTCACACTCGAGCCGTAATATAAAACGTGTTTCTAATCGAAATCTGCTCACGGGTAGCCGGAGTGTAAGGACGATCCGGACGTCCTCCTTCTGGTTTCATCCTCCTCTCTTTCTCGTGCCAAAAGCCTCGGGAGGACACATATTCCGGCCGGTAAATGAAAAAGCAAATCGGAGCAGTGGACGGCTGCGCCGTTTCGCAGAATCCGGTCTCGGAATTCGATCGAGTTCACTAGACTCGCTGCCTCCCCGAGCCGGTTTCGAGCAGGTGCAAATGGCGTTTCAGGTGAGCCTGGATGTCCACCGACAAGGAGGAACGTAGTCCACGGACCGACTGGCTCCCTTAAACGCTATGTCGTAAAGTTATATCACGCGCGGTGGAAGCCGATCCAACACGCGCGCGTTATTATTATATCGTAATAAAATCAATGTGTTTTGCGATCGGTCGAGGATCGCTGGCTCTGTCACCTTACGAACGGACGCTCGTCGCTATGTAATTTATCTTTACGACGTATCATATACTTTTAGATTCGTCCTGTCGGCCAGGATTTCTGTGTCGTTCGAGGACGATTTACGACAAAATTCAAATTCATTATACGTTTAGACGCGGAAAAGACGGCATTGAGATTGTATTTCCTTGGCGATAATTTAATTCAGAGAACTTGTTACTTGTTCAATTTTATATTGAATTAACATTTTTAAAATATTACATTTCCAAATTTTTTAAATATTTATGTAATTACGATTAATTAGAAAAAATAATATTCTATTACATTTATATAATATTTATATTACAAATTTCTATTATTTCTACGAAATTTTTTCAACGATATTTTAATGATTTTAATTAAATTATCATTAAATTATTTCTAACATAAGTAAAATTCAAGAATATTCATTATACCATAACTGCCTATTAAACATATTTAAAGGACGTCTACAAGTTTGCCATATCTTGCAATCTTTACAGTGGTCTTTTTCTTTTTTTTTTTCTTAGTCACGTTTCCCGGTAGCAATTATAGTAACACCAGCAGTAAGTGTTCTCCATTTACTGGGAGTATGTCATCATGACTTCAGCCTGCTGACC